GAAACGATATGATATACAGAACAGTAATCGTCTAATACCACTCAAACAAATACCCCAAAGATTATTGCCACGCGCGGCTTCGTCCACGCACACTTCAAACTTGGGTAATTAGACCTTTTACTTCGATTAACAAGAATTAACAAGATATCAATGAATCAAAAACCATGGAACGAAACTACATGGCAAATAATTGGCAATACCAAAGTGATACTAACACGTAGCAACAATATGTGTCTAAAGGCATTTTTGTAAGCCAAAAATGAGCGGTGACAATAGCTGTCAGTCTCATTCACAATACTCGAATTGATACTTCTATCTTATCCGCTACTTGAACTCTCATTTGGAAAAATCACTTGAAAGGGCTCAATAGAAAAATGCCATCCTACACTATCGATAGCTACATTTCACATGTATCAGTATGTGAGATGTTACGATTAATTAATGAGAAAGTTTAAAATCTTTAACGAAGCTTGCGCGAAGTGCATCCGAGATGAGCAAAACACCAAATGCAGCTTTTCGTGGTCGGGGAAGTCGATACCGTCAGTCGCGACCATCTGGTGCAGCCGCCACCCCCGAATCACTTGGTCGCGCTGTTTTGATGTTTTAAAGTTGCAAGAACAAGGACAATGTATCTTGCAAACCTTGAATAATTACTTATTTTTTGTTGTCGCTGGCGACAGAGATCGAAGAAGAAGACGACGAACTATCGCGACAAGAGAAAGGAACTCAGGAAAGCCTAGATGTTTTATGCAATGGTGAATGTTCATATCCATCAATAGAAAGATATTTGAGACCCTAGGAAGCCTTTAGCATGTGTGCATCTGTAGTTTCCTTGCTTTTACTTTTACTCAATGTAGTTCCTTAAGCTTTTTTCTCTACTCTCTTACTCTTACTTTCTGATTCTGTAGGTAATAGTCACGCTACTGTTTACTCAGTATCGGGCCGTAATGACTCACGGCCGCTGGCCGCGGCTTAAGTATGATTTCTTGTAGTTCATTCATCATTCATCGGGTTATTTACTGTTTTGTTAAATCATATGGGTTGTCTCCTTGTTAACAAATAGTTGTTGGGAATTGTCTTTGTTGAGACCGGCGAACATCGATCACCTCATCTAAGAGTTCTCATCATTTTCTTTCACTAGCTGCTCTGCGGAACTATGCCGAGCCTTACAAGTTGACATTGGTGAACAGCAGCTCACGGAGATCACAGAAGAGGTCCTGATTGGACGCTGGAGTTTCTCCTCAGATTCTCCGCAAAGCGGTCACACCTTGAAAAGCATGACTCAGTACCAAACTCACAATGGAAGATTGCATGCGCTCACACTTTCCCGCTTTATTTTTCGTAGTTCCCGGGCTTGGAACAAAGACAAAAGTGAATGAAACGATAAGTGAGTAACGAAAAGGAAAAAGGCAAAAAAAACAAAGCATATCGAAAACATGTTTGAAATACTCATTGTTATTTTCCGAAAAAAACTTCGGAATTACCGGCCTAGTTCACTCCGGCTGAGGATGACACCACACATGGTATCGAGGACGACCTAATGATAACTTTGTTCCAATAAGATAGTAGCATGCGTACTTGTTCCAGGATGAATTGCCTGTGGGGCACCGCGATTGCAACATTCATCCTTTGGGAGTCGTCCATACTCCGCTTAATTAGGATCAACATTAGTACGTGTCGTAAGAATTGAAACTACCTTCTTTCACGTCCTCGAACGGCGTCGGCTGCCGACAAATTGACTCGTGGTCATGGCCTTTGAGAAGAGCCACCGATACTGCTTCCTGTAGAATGGATTATGCAGATACCATCTGTTGCGATACCTTCGAATGGCCGGCGACTATGCCCCAACACGCTAGCAATCCATCCTCATTGTGAAGCGATTTGCTGGCAGCCTTATTCGAATTGGCTGGAACATCGACGAACATAAAGGGGACCATGAGGGAATGAGGGAAGACCATCCCGACAGCAGCACTTGCCGATCCTCTCGCTGTAAACCGCTGACTATTTCGCCGGAACGACACACGATTATGGCAGTTTTATGAGACCTGTGCGCACGGAAAGTCGTTGACAGAAAGGTAATGAAACCGCGCAATCTTGCCATTAAACTCATCCCTCACCGAAACGAACTTGCGAACGGGGCCGCTTGGCATGATCCAAATGATGAACGTCGCCGATGCACACGTACCGACGAACACGTAGGTGGACTGCCAAAACCACTAGACGGGTTTCGGTATCTGTGAAGCCTCATCGCCAGTCAGTACCTTGAAATTTTTCGTATGCTTTCTAAAGATGCTCTTGGACCACTAATGTTTAGCATGGACGATGTCATTGCTAGGATCACGTTGGGCTGCATGAGGCTAAGCATTGGGCCTACCATCTGCTGCAAATTCTTCGAAACAAACAACAATAGGTCTATCATTTTCTGCAAGTTCTTTGGAACGAATTTTTTATAACTTTTCCCGATCCTCCTCTGTCGGAGGCGGCTAGATATGCTCGGAAACTTCCTTCTTGCCTGAAAGGCGTTGCATAGGTCCATTTCCACGGCGGTCAAGTGCTCTACATATCGAGCTCCAAGTTCCTTGAGAAGCTCTCCCGAATCGGCTAAAGTCGGAGAGTTGTTCTCGGCAGCGGCCGTACCCGCTAAAAACGAACCACGGCAGATTTTGGTTCTCTAGGGTCAACAATTTTTTAGCAAATTTAGCCGCGGCAGCATTTGTGGAAGCTGTTACCAGCACAGAAGTTTTCCTCATACTTTACAGAAAAGGGTAAATACAGTAACTTCCCAACATAAAGTAGGACAAGAAGCACATGGAGTTATTTAGAGAAAAGCTGTTTACTGCAGAAAAACGGTAGTCTCAATCCGTAATGGGAAAGAAAAGCTTGCAGCCGAAATACGGCCAGAGTTTGTTTGCTCGTGATTGCAAGAAACTGCAAAATATGAAAGTTTTGAAAAAACCAGCATGAATTGCGTAAGATCAGAGCGCATAATCAAACAATCAAGTAGAATAACATAACATAGCATATTGCTTACGAGATAGAGCCAAATTGGAAGGTCCTTTATCTGAAACTGAAGGAGAACTACTACAGATACCTGACTAAGATCGCCTCCGAAGAAGATGAAAGTTTGGTTGTCATCTACTCGAAGATATGTCAGGGACGTTTGATATCCCAGCATAGGGAGCAACACACCTGATAAGACTTGTCAGTTGGCGAAACAGGCATTCATGATGCTATTGCTGAGCTTGATACCTCGAACGGAGGTTCGTACAAGGATTCCACGCTTATCATGCAATTCTAAGGGCAACATCATCTTAAAGACGTTCGATGCCTCTGCCGACGATCAAAACGCAGGAGAGGAGAAGTAGAAATTCGACGACTAAGATGAAGATTGATGTAATTAATAAGAGAAGGAAAAGCTGACCGCTCAATGAAAATTTAGTCGAATTAAAGGCAGTGTCCATGCAAATAGTCGATTTTGTGATTTTGTGCTTACCAGGGCCTATTCGCTATGCTGAACCCGAAAATCCACACTGGAAAGCGCGAAAATGGCGGTAAAGGGCCCTAACGCAGGAATGAAACCGCAGGTGGGTGGGGCCTTCACACTATGCCGCCACCCTTCCAGGCTTTAGGAGCGATCTTGTCTGTTCCGATTTCATTCATTCGTTTGCAGTCGGCTGGTAATGATGTCAGGACAACTAGCGGAAGCGAGAAGATCGCTCCTGAAGCTGGGAGAGTGACGTCACAATGTGAACAGCCCCGCCCACCTGCGATTTCCCTCCTCTGCTAGAGCCTTTTTTCGCCGTTTTCGCGCTCTCCAGTGTTGATTTTCGGATTCAGCATAGCGAATAGGCCCAGGTAAGCACAAAGTCTCAAAATTGACTTTATGCATGGACACTGCCTTTAATGATCGATACCGCTCACCACGCTATTACACGCGCTTAAACATGTTTTGCCGGGCTCGCGGCTTATCTCCCACCAACGCGACTATTCACGTCAGATCTTCATTGCCAGCAGAATCAAATTACTCAGAAAGGCACCTGTTATAGAGCAGCGGATGGTGCAGTGCGAGTATACTTGTTTGCGTAGCCTATGAAAGGTTCAATCTCCTACGGGTCATTTGTAATGTTCCAGCACACTATTGCATGATATATCACGCCTACGCTCCGTTGATTTCTCACTGCAATCGACGGGACGCGCCGTATCCGCCGCTCTTTGGAGTTTTATAGGCTCTCCTGCTTTTCGAAAGGGAGATGGGGGTCATGAACCTGACAAAGCTTTAAAAAGTCCCGGGTTTTAGTAGATTTATGCGAGAAATAATATGCATTTCACCGGGACATGGAAGTACGAAAAGCTGCCGCTCCATCTTACAACTAAGGCCTGATGCATACTTGACGATGGGTCGCCTTAGCTGACGATAAGACGCTGCCAGCAGCAACGCCTTTTGTGCGTATTGATTGACGCCGGGCGACGCCGCTGCTCCCCGCTGCAGCAGCGAACGAGAAACAGACCCGCCATAGCTAGCGATGCTGCGCTGCTGCTTGCTGCTCGTAGCTGCTACGCGCTGCTCCTTGCTGCTCTGCGATCTGAAGCTCACTTTTTGTGAGCTTTTCTCAGCTGCTCTTGCTGCTATCGGCGTATTTTCACTAGATCTTCCCTTATTTTGCTCGTTTTCATCCATTTTTTCGTATTTTTTCATATTTCTGCCTGGAACAATTCAACACTACCGCTCCTAGCCCCTACTTTTCCACACTTTTATCGAGTTATTTCGCTCACTATGCTTTTTCTTTCGATATCGTGAACACAAATTCTTTATTTGAAGTTTTTCTTTTATTATTTGCGATCACATGCATTGTTCATTTGGTTTTTTTTTTGTATTCTATCCCCTCCTTACCCTACCGATGAGCCTCGGGGAGGGTTTTTGTGCTGTATTCATTCTATTTTTTGCTTGTCTAGGGTTCAGAGGCGAAACTGCTGTGTACGTAATTTTTTTTATCAGAGTCATGACTTCTCACAACATCCAAGCTCCACCAAACGTACTTCTTGCTTTGGGAACGATGGAGGAAATGATGGATTACGAGGAAAGCGTATCAAAAGCAAGAGCATATGTCCGAGAGGAACATGTTCCCTTCCTTGATTCATGCTTTCGGAACTTGGACTCCTACATCGCTTCCCACAATCCGGATAACTTCGCTCATTTCACACGACTATTCCCTTCTGAATTCCAAGATCTCCATGAACTTGGCCCCTATTTGCAACATGAGCCATTTCATGTTACACCAATCAGTGCCCAACGGAGGCTTTTCGTCTACTTGAGGTGTGTTATTGGAATATACAGTTTCTCCACTGTCTAGTTCTTATTTTGTTTGTACTCATGCTATAGCATATTAGATTTGTTGGACACGGCTACGCATATGGAGCTCTAGCAGAAGAGCTCAACATAGGAAGGCAGACCGTGTCCGATATCGTCTCCGAAGTCACGGATGCCATCAATACGGGTAAAATTACCTAAAAATGATAAGTTTCGTTCATTTCTCTACACTACGCTTTAGTACTATTCGCCGATGCATTCCCAACGCCCACCCGTCAAGCACTTGAAGACTGTGCCATGAAAACACAGCAGCGTTATGATTATCCACGCGCTGTGGGTTTCATGGACGGCAAACACATAAATGAGAGTTCGTTATCATTCATCACATCTTATCTATAAAGCTGAATGTCTGTATGTATGTCTGTATGTCTGTATGTCTGTACGTATGTGTGGAATAGAAATTTTTATTTCTGAACCGATTTGGACCAAACTTGGCACACATACACTTCGGGGCAAGGAGCGTGTCATAGGCTACTTTTCGTTATCGATCGATATCGATTTTATCGATTTTTTTGCAAACTTTGAGCGGGGCTGGGAGTTGGCACAGGGGGGTAATCGAGCATGCTGATTACAAATATGTTATCGACAGGGCCGGGCGGAGCCGGGTTTGCCAACTAGTTCACCTATATAGACGACCGATCTTACTTTAAGAAGCCGAAAAAATGCGGGCAGCACGTATTGGAACTACAAAGGCTTCCACTCCATCATCCTCCTTGCTGTTTGCGACTGCGACTACCGTTTCACAGCCATCGACTTTGGTGCGCCAGGACGAGCTGGAGACGCGGAGTGTTCCGGAACTCGGACATCAAGACATTCTACGAAGTTCGGGATGACATCTTCCCGGAAACAGAAGAGCTGAACGATGTTGGACCAGTGCAGTACCACATTCTGGTCGACGGTGGTTTCGCGCAGAGCCACCGATACATCAGACCGTTTCCGGAACCAATGGCGACAACAGCTAGCAAACGTCGCTTCAGTGAGAAACTCAGCGGGTAGACTACTGCAAATTCCTATCATTGATTCCAATCAGATTATAATACATTCTAGCGCAAGGAGAATGATCGAATCATCATTCGGGATACTTTGCAAGAGGTTCGCCATTTTGCAACGAGATCTACAAGTCGAACCGAAAAAGGCTCAGAAATTAGCCACATCACTATTGGTATGCCTTAATTCAGCTTTACACCTATCAAATCAGTAAAAATTTTATTCAAGGTCCTCCACAACCTTCTCGCACGAAGGCAAGATCTCCTGGAGGGAGTAAAACAATTCGCGCCAGCAAGGAACTCGCCTCTACCAGACCGCTTTGCCTCACTACAACGAACTGCTCGGCACGCCGGTTCAGATTCGGCAAAACTAGCAAGAGATCGTCTTGTATCGTACTTAATTTGTATGGAACTCTACAAAACATTCAAAATCTTTATTAACTATAGGCAATGGTGCAAGATCTATCAAATAAAGCAAATCTTTGGCATATATCACAAAATAGAACATAACAATACAAAATATACATATATATTGTAATGACTACGTATATGAAAAACTATAAAATATATGTACCATTTTCTAATCGATCAACATACTGCACTGGCTCCAGCAAAGTATTGGTCATTAAACTCATTTTCCCTACGGCAACATTGTCTGGCAGGCTCTTCAGATACGTTGTGACGAACTGCCCTGTAATAGAAACATAAAAATATAATTAAAGCTTGTCAAAAACCTAGACTTCTTACCGTACTGCTCGAATTTGCATGACGGATTTTGTTTCTCGACTTCCAGGGCGGACATTCGGGCTTTGACCGCCTTCGCAGCCTCCTGCAGGAAGTTTCGAGCTATTATAGTCACAAAATCCACGAACAACAAGTAGAATTTAGATTATATGTGATAAGTTCATTATTAACCTTGCAGAGGCCCTCTTCTTCTTCATGGACGGGATCCGCAGCAGCTTCCGAGATGGAAAGCGTGCTTCTACCAGCGACTCCTCACTGGTTGCTGGTAAGGGAGTGCTCTCCATCTCCATCTCCACGTCGTCCACGTTTTCCTTCTCCTGCGACGACGAGTATGCGGACGTGGACGACGAGCCGCTGCTTCTCAGGTTGGAAATCCGCGCACTGTGACACAATACAATTAGAAAAAAAACAAAAGAAAGATGCATATGTTTGAAAAATGTACGGAATACACCGTGGTTTCGCAGGTGTCCAAAAATCGTAGATGTTTCATGTAAACCCACGGTTGCACGGTTGCAGACCCCGTTCTGGCGGTCTTGTGCTTCCTGTAGGTGTCCCGTAATGATTTCCACATTCGTTTTGCATCAGCGACTGAAAGAGAAAAAATTACAAGATTTGTCCCAAAAGGTATTGAAAGTTTGAAACAGAACTTACCCGGGCATTCATGGCCCTTGCTCCACATGTTCTGTGAGGTTTCAAGCCATGCAGAATTTCTCCTTTCCGCAACGCGGTAGTCATCACAACTAACGTTCCAAATTGCCCCTTGTTCCTCGACTAAAGTGATTAAGTCGATCTTCAGATCGTGGACCATTCTATCTAAAAAAAACTAGTTTAAACAATGATAGTAGACAGCAAAATCGAGAAAAAACATAATATGAACGAAATCGAGATCCACGAGAAACGAGCATTCGAAGAAATGAACAAGAGATGAACAATCAGAGGGGCATTAACCTTAAAAACTAATCTAATGTGTTAAAAAAATCTGCAAGTAACTTGTCGCGCCCTAATTACTCGCTGCGCATGTATTCGCGGCCTGCGTGTGCGACCCAGAAATCGCTGCTAGCAGCAAGAGCAGCGAAGACAGCAGCGATTCGCCAACACCCGCCATACCTCCATCGTCAGGTATGTACGAAGCCTAACAAAGACTTAGCTACTATGGAACATAACTATTCGCCTCGAAACCAATAACTAGCGGCGTGGTCTACATGACTCCAAATATTGCTGATGGAATCCTTCTATATATATAAAACCGAATGGTGTACTTGTCTGTACGCTGGTGGATGCTGTCTGTACGTCCTCGATGGTGTTTTTCTCGTCGATGGTGTTTTCGTGTCTGTTGTTTTCCAGTATGGAAACTTGTTACTACTTCCACCAAATTTATCGATTATTTGCAAATTTTGAACTACGGGACTCGGAGTTGACACGGGGGGTAAGCGAACATGCTGATTACGAATACAATATTAGTTTTTAGAATTATCAATTACTTTCGTCACTTTATCGATTCCTTGCAAAGTTCGAGCTACAGCGTTGAGAGCTGGCACAGGAGGGTAAGCGAACATGCTGATTACGAATATGATAACCATTTTCAAAAATGCCCATTACTTTTATCATTTTATCAGTTTGTTTGCAAATTTTGAACTATGGGGCTGGGAGTTGGCAAAGGGGGGTAAGCGAACATGCTGATTACGATTACAATATTAGTTTTTAGAATTATCAATTGCTTTCATCATTTTATCGATTTTTTGCAAAGTTCCAGCTACGGCGCTGAGAGTTGGCACAGGGGAGTAAGCGAACATGCTGATTACGAATATGATAACCATTTTCAAAAATGCCCATTACTTTTATCATTTTATCAGTTTGTTTGCAAATTTTGAACTATGGGGCTGGGAGTTGGCAAAGGGGGGTTAGCGAACATGCTGATTGCGAATACAATATTAGTTTTTAGAATTATCAGTTATTTTTATCATTTTGTCGATTTTTTGCGAAGTTCAAGCTACGGGGCTGGGAGTTGGCGAAGGGGGGGGGGGGGTAAGCGAACATGCTGATTACGAATACAATATTAGTTTTTAGAATTATCAATTACTTTCGTCATTTTATCGATTTCTTGCAAAGTTCGAGCTACAGCGTTGAGAGTTGGCACAGGAGGGTAAGCGAACATGCTGATTACGAATACAATATTAGTTTTTAGAATTATCAGTTATTTTTATCATTTTGTCGATTTTTTGCGAAGTTCAAGCTACGGGGCTGGGAGTTGGCGAAGGGGGGTAAGCGAACATGCTGATTACGAATACAATATTAGTTTGTAGGATTATCAATTGCTTTCGTCACTTTATCGATTTCTTGCAAAGTTCGAGCTACAGCGTTGAGAGTTGGCACAGGAGGGTAAGCGAACATGCTGATTACGAATACAATATTAGTTTTTAGAATTATCAATTACTTTCGTCACTTTATCGATTTCTTGCAAAGTTCGAGCTACAGCGTTGAGAGTTGGCACATGAGGGTAAGCGAACATGCTGATTACGAATACAATATTAGTTTTTAGAATTATCAATTACTTTCGTCACTTTATCGATTTCTTGCAAAGTTCGAGCTACAGCGTTGAGAGTTGGCACAGGAGGGTAAGCGAACATGCTGATTACGAATATGATAACCATTTTCAAAAATGCCCATTACTTTTATCATTTTATCAGTTTGTTCGCAAATTTTGAACTATGGGGCTGGGAGTTGGCACAGGGGAGTAAGCGAACATGCTGATTACGAATATGATAACCATTTTGAAAAACTGCCCATTAATTTTATCATTTTATCGTTTTCTTGCAAAGTTCGAGCTACATACGGTGCTGAGAGTTTTTCACATGGGAGCAAGCGAGCATGCCGATTACGAATATGAAAACTAATTCAGAAAATACCCACTACTTCTATTTTAATTGATTTTTCGCATTGTTTGAATCACGGCGCTGGGGGTGTTGGTACAGGCAGATAATTGAGCATGCTGCTCACGAACACGTTCTTATTTTACAAGTTATCAATTACCTTCACTGGCTTTATCGATTTTTTGCAAAGTTTAAGCCACGAAACTGGGATTTGGCACATGGGAAAAAGCGAGCATGCCGATTACGATTGTAATAAGTGTTCTTGAATGTACCTATTATTTCTGTCGATTTTCTATTCTTTGTAAAATTAGAGCTACACGGCTGGTATTTGGCACAAAGTTGTATGTGAGCACGCTCACTGCAAAGATAGTAACCTTTTTTGAGATTACCCATTACTTTTATTGATTTCATCTTTTTTCAACTGAAGCTACGAGGCTGAGGTGGCACTGGTCCGGGGGTAAGTAATCTGGTCTCGAGGGAAGAAGAGGCTTATAGACTGGGGCGGCAAGAAATTTTCGCTAAGAATCTAATTATACATTATATCTAATTATACAGAAATTTCCTTGAAATTTACTTCTTTCCCTTCCACTCTGCAAAAACCATACTTCTGCCTCTGAAAGCAGAAAAGTGGTCTCTGGGGATGGACAGACCCATATAGCTTATATGACATTATCACTGAAACTTTTGGTCCCCAAACTTCGCAAGAACCACAAACTCAAAAACCACACTTTGAGTTCTAAAAGCAAAAAAGACAGGGAGCTTGGTCTCGAGGTAAGAAGGAATTATGGCCTCAGGCAGCAAAATATTTTTGCCAGAAGTTTCTGTGTGTCAGTGACTACACAGAACTTGCTTAAAATTTACTTCTGGTCATTCTACTTTGAACCACACTTCTTCCTCTAAAAGCGAAACAGCACAGATAGCTTGGTTTTGAGGAAAAGACAGAACCATGAGCTTCATGCGACAAACATTTTCGCCAAGGCGTTTGACTTCCTAGACTTCGCAAAAAACCAGTACTTCTGCCCCTAAAAGCAGAACAGCAAAGGGTATTTAGTCTCCAAGGAAGGGCAGCCCATGAGTTTCATCGACAGGACATTTTCGTTAAGACGTTTGACTCCCAAACTTCGCAAAAACTCAAAAACCACACTTCTGGTCCTAAAAGCAAAAAAGACAGGGAGCTTGGTCTCGAGGGAAGGAAGAATTATGGTCTCAGGCAGCAAGATATTCTCGCCAGAAGTTTCTGGGTGTCAGTGATTATACGAAACTTGCTTGAAATTTACTTCTGACCCTTTTGGTCTCGGAGGGAAAAGACTCATAAGCTCAGCCAGCAAGATACTTTCGCTGAAAATTCCTGGGTGTCAATGTTTATTCATACAGAAACTTGCTTCAAAATTTACTTCTGGCCCTTCTACTTTGCAAAAACCATACTTCTGCATCTAAAAGTAAAAAAGCAGAAAGTGCTCTCGATAGAAGGACAGACCCATGAGCTTCATCCGACAAGACATTTTCGCTAAGATGTTTGACCCCTAGACTTCGCAAAAAACCAGTACTTCTGCCCCTAAAAGCAGAAAAGCACAGAGAATTTAGTTTCTAAGGAAGGACAGCCCATGAGTTTCATCCGACAGGACATTTTCGCTAAGACGTTTGACTCCCAAACTTGGCAAAACTACAAAAATCAAAAACCACACTTCTGGCTCTAAAAGCAGAAAAGACAAGGAGCTTAGTCTCGAGGGGAAGAGACTCATAAGCTCAGCCAGCAAGATACTTTCGCTGAAAATCTCTGGGTGTCAATGTTTATTTTACAAAAACTTGCTTGAAATTCACTTGTGGCCATTCTACTCTGCAAAATCCTGACTTCTGCCTCTGAAGGCAGAAAAGTGATCTCGAGGGAAAGACAGACCCATGAGCTTCTTGCGCAGTAAATTATCTTCTCTGAAAATTTTGGCCTTTTGAACTTCGCTAAAAACACACTTTTGCCCCTAGAAGCAAAAAAAACAGGAAGCTTGGTCTCGAGAGAAGAAAAGACTCAGGGCTCAGGCAGCAAGATATTTGCGCTAAAAAATTTTAGGTGTCAATATTTAATTATGAAACTTGCTGGAAAAATTACAGCCCATTCTTCTCAACCATACTTTTGCCCCTAAAAGCGGAAGCATAAGGAGCGTGGTTTCGAGGGATGGAAAGACCTAGGGTTTTATGCGACAAGACAGTTTCGGTAAGATTGTCCTTCAAAAGAAGGCGTTGGGCAAGCTTTAGTCTGTTCTAAGAAATGAGTCCGTTCACTGGCAAGACACCATAGAAAAAATACTGCTTCGTTTTTATCTACATATCTGAGTTTTCGGCTGCTGGAAGACATAACTTGACGCTTCTATTAACATGGCACTTTTTTGGGAATCAATCTGAGTTTTGGGATGAATCAGCTGTTCTAAACAGGTGCTTGGAGGTAGCTTCCTTGTTTAAAGGCAGCGTCCGGGCAAATTTTCGCCTCTTATGTTTCTGCCATTCTGGGGCCTTTCCGTGGCCCTGATTACAGCTGAAAAGTCGAAATTGTTCAAAACTCCCAAAAAATCCGGTTCTTGGGGACCTTCTCTTCAAGGAGCGCACGAGTTTCGAATCGCTCGTCCCCATCGTCATGCCAGCGGGAGGAGCTGCAACTGCATGGATGAAGTTGCATTGCAGTGTGCAGTGCAACTGCAATGCAACCGCAATGCAACGGCACACCTGCGTAAGCACTCATCCTCAGGGGAGGTTTGTGATATGAGGGGGCGGCTTGTGATACGTATCACAGGCCCGTATCTCCTTTTAGAGTGCACGTCAAAGGATTGGACCAACGCAGATCGGATACTCATGGGCCCCTTTTTGCAACTATGTGATAATCTGGGTGGATGAATTTTGCCTGGACGCTGCCTTTAAGAACCTTGGTATCTGGGCGAAGGTATCTGCG